AGCTTATATAAATTACAATGTGCCTCATTGTGTTATACTAGCATTAATTAACTAGTAATAAATTAAGATAGTAAAATAATTAATCTTGTAATAAATTATGATAGTTAAATTAATAAATACTATGTTTAATTTGTGATTTATAATACATATACTCTGTAATTTACACACACACACACCACATATATTATTATTATTATTATTTATTATTATTTGTTTTTGTGTGTGTGTGCGGTTGTGGTCTTGTATTGTATATGGTTCTATGTTGTTTGTCTGCTGCTGTTTTTTGAAAAATGTATGAAAATGTTGGGAACGAAAATAGCATAAGTGACTTTAGTTAAATTAATATATACTTTTGCTTGATGACTTTTGTTGATATCTCAGGATGCAAGCATACATATTACTTTATATTCCATGCTAAATACCTTGATAAAAAGCATTTTAACACCATCAATATATTTTTTTTCCCAGTAACACATCTATTCACCATTACCAAACACACTCACTACACACAACACACACACCTGTGAGACACTATTTATTGTAAATGAAGACAGATTATTCTCCCTTTAACTACACTCATGGACACAATCGTATTTTAGGATATTTTCTACTTCTTTTCCTTTTCTTTCTATAGGCCCCCTTTTTTTATTTCTCTATTATTTTTGGGCCATTTATTTGAAATTTTATTTTGACCCATCTTTTCTTCCTGGCCTTTTGAACTCTTAGAAAATGTACGAAGTTCCTTTTTACTCTCCTCAAATACGAATTTGGCCCCCCTTTCTATATGGCCGATGCTATTCGCACCACCATTAACCACGCATGCGCATTGAATATTCAGATCCGTAACGGATTCCACGTACGCGAACTGCCCGAATCTTTTTTTTCTTAAAGGCGGGTTACTACCTTGGAGTAGTTTATCATTTTTAAGCGTTGGCGACTTTCAAAAGTTTAGAATCGAAAATGGGTTCCTTTTCTTATAAAAAGAAGAAACATTTCTTTTTATTAAAGTATATATATAAAAAGAGTAGATTTTTATGTTCGCAATGTTTATCGTTTTCCTGAACGGTTGGAATAGTTTAAATAACTGATTAGTGGGGGGGGGAGGGATCTTGTTTACATTTTTTTGTACTTCTTCATTTGTACAATTCATTCTTCTTTGAAAATTTTCGTCCGAGAAAAGATAATAAAAATTAGACAGAGGATTTCTGTGTAGAAAATTTAGACATGAAATGATTTAAAAGCGATTAAATCAACTATTAAATGAATCATATAATACTGGTTATTGACAGTTCTGTATACCTGCTTATTTTTTTTATGGAAGTACTTGGCATTTTCAGGACACAAAAAATACTTCAAAGAACTTTGAAATATTAGTACAAACACATTAATAAATTAAATTGAAATAAATAATGAGATGTAATTTAAAAGACAGAAATAATTTAATGTAAGAGTTTTAGATTCAACAATTTGCACACACAAATGAATTATCAGATTTTATAAGGTTTTATTTCATAAATAACTTTGATTTTGAATATGACATTTTAACCTATAAACATGAGTGGATACTGAAAAAGTGATGAATATATAAGAATATTTTAATTTTCACTAAGTTTTCTTATTGAATAATAATTCTGACAGTCCAATGCTATAAGACTAGGGTCTAAGTTTGCATAAAAATTTCTCTGTTAAATAAAAGAATTCCATTATTAAATCCCTATTTTATCTAATCATTTCCTGAACATTATCCTATATATAGATTGACTTCGTCTTTGTAACCGATAATTATTACTTGCAAATTATTCTCTTGCTGGTGAACAATTGACAACCCTTTCTATTGCTGAGTTAGGGTTAACAATCTTCGCTCTCGCTACCGTCATGAATGTGTCAGATACAATAAATAGAATTAAAGCTAAGTGACTGTGGGTAAATGAATGTTTTTGATCACAATAGCCATACAACAGAAAAACTGATAATTTTTGGAAAATAAATGATTAAAAAATAAGCTGTTGTTGTACAAACAATAATACAATAAACAAAAAGTGCTTATGCTTGTTTGTACACAGAAACAGAATTTTCATTTAAACAACATGTTTAAACATTTTATAACTGAATATATATGCTTCTTAATTTGAAGAAAACTCAAAACTAAAAGTGTCTATTGAAGAATTTAGGATGAACACATAGGTGGTCAATTTAGCAGATTCATTATGTGTTTTATACAGGGTTGATACTAGGTTGTCAATTTGCTGACCAATGCAATCTCTGCAGTTCCTACATTCTATTGCTAGATGCCTCCCTAATTATAAAACAATGTTTATTATGTTTATTCAATGTTTATTATGATTTTTCCAAAATCAAATAATCATATCTCTTCTTATAAATTAAAATTTTATTTAAATATACTGAAAAGCATTAACAACATTACGACAGACTAACACTCACATTGAAAATGGTTCATTCTAGAATTTGAGTCAAATTATAATCTAGAGCATGGACCAACAAACTGGTGCCTGCAAAACAATTTTAAAATTTTAAGAAGCTGACGAGGTATTTTAATGTTGAATGGCAAAAACAATTTCATTTATAACTTAAAATTATTTTTTTAAACTGTTGGTCGCGACCCCCATGGAAGTCGCCAAAACATTTTAGCAGTTTTTGATAATCCCTTAATTTATTCTAATAATTTTACAATTACCAAACATTTTTACACAATATATCTGAAAATAGATAAAGATAAGGCAATACATAAAGTTCTCTTTCTAACTGAACAAAAATCTGATTTTGCGAATTTATTTCATAATAAGTTATGGCTACAAAAGCTGCATTATTTGAGTGACATATTTGAAAAACTAAATGATCTAAATTTGTCGTTTCAAGAAAAAGGTTGCAACATAGTCATATTCAAATTAAAAATTGATGCTTTTATTAAGAAAATGACCATATGAAAAACAATGATGGAAAAGGGTTTGTTAGAAATGTTTGTCGCAACAACTGATTTTTTAAATGAAAATGATGAAATAGATAAATCAAAAAGATGACTTGTTGAAAAAAATGATAAATGAACATCTTCGATGTCTTGAGAAAAACTTAGAAAAAGAAATATTTCCCTTCAAATTTTAGTGTCAAAGAACTAGTATATATTGTGAAACTATTTAGAATTAATGTGGAAAATATTACTCATTTGCCATTAAAATCACAAGAAGAACTTGCTGATTTATCAAATAATTTGAGATTGAAACTTTATCTTTAATACGAAGTCTTCAGAAGATTTTTGGCTAGCAATTGCAAAAGATTTCCTACAATTTCTGAGACTGCCATAAACTTTTACCTTTTTCTGCAACATATTAGTGAGAGACATTTTCATCTCTAACCACCATAAAATCAAGTGTCAATCAAAAAAGTTTAAAAAGCCCTGATTTATTACATGGTAAAATGTGCATGCTTATGCAACTGAAGTGTAATGGTTAGTGTAAAATATAACTTGGAGAGACATTTCATCAGTACGGTGTTTGCATAACATTTTCAAGGGAATGTTACATGAGTAATGAAATTCCAATTGCTATACTAAATCTCTCTCTGCTAGTACTTAAAAAGAAAAAACTCAAAGTTATCCGTTACTTTAATTGTAAATAGGTTACTTAAATTTAAATATCGCAAAGCCTCGAGGACTATCTGCGTAAGAGGAGAGAAACCTTTGTAGAGGCCTTTCTAAGGGAAACTGGCTCATATTTATGTTACACATGGGGTAACCACAAAAAACCAACCATGCAGCCAACCTGTTCGCCTGGGAAGGAACCCAAGCCAGGTCGAACTACCAGTATTCAGTTGTCTTAACCACTCAACCACTGGTAAGGCTCTTAATTCTAAATAGAAAATTTTATATTGCACTCCTGTAATACTCTTTTTAAATGAATCACATTTCAAGAAAACAAGCTCTGAAGTTAATTCAATATTACAAATTTGAGAAAAATTCAGCTTAATATTAGTATCCTCATCTTGTAAAAATGAACATTTTTTTTTAAATTAAAAGGTCATAATGTTGTTGTGAATTATAAGACCTCATATGTGACATCGATATATGAGGTTTTAACTCACCTTTATGTAATCTTGCATGCATTCCCATAAAGCATCCAATACTTCTGGTATCACTCTTGACAATGTTTGTTTAGGTATTCTAAACAAATACTGTAAATTTGAATAGGAACGCTCTGTAACATAATAAAAAACTTATATAAATTTCTCAAATTAAAAAAAAATAGTGATTAAAATTATTGTCTGAATTTGTATTTCAATTTTTGTAAATTTGATTTATTAATTTTATCAAAATTAATTGATTTTTTCCAATAAAATAAAAATTAACTTACCACCAGCTAGAAAGCGTAAAGTAACATGCAGCCTCTCAGATGGTGAAATTGCACAACGCATAATCGTATCCTGTTTTTTAATTTTGCTGCTCACTAAGTTTAATAAATAATTAAAATCGCACGGCATCATTCGCAAATACTTTCCAAATTCCACCCTGTCTTCAAAACGCAGCTCTTGGAACAGGGTATTATGGGCTCCATGAATTTCTCTGCGTTTCACCCAATTTCTCGTTCAAATACGCTTTCTTTTTTCTTCTTCTGCAACAGCAGCAGCGAAATTCAAAATCGCAGATGTTGCTACAGTAGCAATTAACGGAAAATCTTCATCCATTTTTATTATTGTCGCCTAAATTCACTCCCGCACAGCTTCGTTTTCACAGTTGTTGATAGTGTGACGCTACATAGGGCGGGAATTCTTCGTCGGACAGTGATTGGTTAAGGCATTTCCTGTACCGACGACAAAATCGTTGCGGGTGGACAAGCAAGCTCTCGCAGATAAAATCGTACGAGAAAGTCGGCCGATAAAATCGCTACGTGTAGACGGGCCTTTACGGAAATCGGCGTAAAATGCTGGTACCTGGGCTGATTGTGCGCATGCGCGAACGTAGGTGGTGTGAATCAACGAGATAATATACTGTTATAAGAAGTCGTTGGTGTGAATAGCCTGTTAGCTATTCGCACCGTCGGTGCGATTAGCCACTGCGTACCTTTCCTTCGCACCTATGTTTGATTTTTCGCCTATCAGTGCAGAAAGACTTAGCGGTGGCAAAACAAGAAGTCTATGTATATATCTATGTACAATACATATTCTATGGTCTTGCGCCTGCATTTCACTCTCGACTTTGGTTGACATAATAGACCGTCGTGGACATAATAGACTTCACAGCAACGCTACTGTGTAAAATGTTGGCTAACTTTATAGGCGAAAAGCTCGGTCTTGAAATTCGCCTGCCATGCGCGCCAGCTAAGGGACATATTCTTTGCTAATGCCAGAAAAATTGTCACCGACTTCAAGCACTAGAATTTCGGCAACTTTTGAACATTTTGGAATGGAAAAAAATAATGAACTATGCTCTAGTGATCCTGAGCGTGAAAGGTGCGTAAAAGTGTTTAATTCCTGTTCAGTGGAATATTTGGAAGCACTTCCGCAGAGAACCCGGTAAATGTAAACATCGCCAACTTTGGCAATAATAGTTCAAACCTGGTAACCTATCGGATTCATCGTATTCGCTTGTTTGAAGGTTGAAACCATTCCTCTTGCGTTCATTTTGTTGAATTATCACTGTCGTTCGCATTTCGAGATTTATATTCTTCTTCTCTTATTTATTATTAATTTTTTCGGATTTTCCACGTTATTTTTTCTGAATTTTTTAACAGCGAATAGATAGAAATATTTTCGTGTAATTAAAGAAGTTTTCGTCGATAGATGCTGGTTCTCGGCTCCAATTCTTATGGCGTAAAATTTTAACAAGAAACTATATTGTTAATGCTTTTCTAACAACAACCTTTCAGAGGATGGCAGGTGTGACATAAATAGCTGATCAAGTTGAAATAAAAAATATTATTGATTATCTAAGATGACAGAGTAGTTTGATGTATCCCCATGGTCATCAAAAATTAGCAAACCACTGCTGGTGTAAGGAATACAGTTCAAATGACTCTTGAAAAATAATAAAATGTATAAAGTTCTAGTTTTATTAACAATGCTACTGAAGAAAATTTGATTACTGTTGAAGGTTATTTGTATTGTGAAATATATTATGAAAAAGAGACGAGTTTATTTTCATATATCACGTTTAACTGGTTAGTTTTACATCTACATGCGTATTGTCTGTGAATTTTTACTACCATATGCTTAATATATTGTTTTGTCTGCTAACTTGAATTTACATGCACTAAAAATCATGTTTATGGCCCGGCTCATCGGAGCTTGGCGAGTAAAAATTGCAACAGCGCCAGCGGGTTCTTTCCCAAAACACCAACAGGTTCTCTGCGGATGAAAACCCAAATTTAGTATTAAAACGGTAGATTATTAGGTACGATGTTGGAATTGTTAACAAGTCTTTTGTCCAAAGGTTTGTTTCCCCGGATTTTACTTACGAATGTATGCTGGACATTGTATGGTCTGTGTCTTAGAAGATAGGGTGGAAGGATAAAGAGGTGGAAATTGATGAGTTTTGCTGATGTTTGAAATTGATATTTCTGCTGTTTGAAGAACCATTCACAATGGTAAGTGCATTTGATTTTACTGTTGTTCTTATTTTGTAGGATGTTATGTTCATTGTATTTTTGCTATGACTTTCTGTCATTATTGTTTTTTTTTCTTACTTGTTTGTAATTTATTTTAGTTTATATTGTTGATTTATGTGCAATGCCTAGATTGTGCGATTCGCTAATGCTTTTTTAAGTTAAACCAGAACCCTGTGTACATGGTATTTTTTGAAATTTATTGTTGTTGTGTTAGTTTACTTTAGTGAGGTGTGCATAATTCCTAGATTGCTATGCTGCATAGATTGTGCAATTCTCTGATTTTTTTTAGGTAAAAGTTTACAATTGGGTGTCCCTTGTTTTTGGCGACTTTTTTTTTTTTGACGTCAAGAGTCAAGATCGGTGCCTTGAAGGCACAATTTCAAGATGGCCGCTACACAAAACCAAAATAAAATGTCAAAGAATTGTACAAACTCAGTGTCCATGTACACATCGATCTGTTTTAATTTAAAAAATTTTAATTTTTGTGTGTTTATGTTATATTGCTAAATTAAGATTTAGCAATATAACATAAACACACAGGAATGAGACGTAGGGGCTTTTTAATCTTAATCTCTTTCCTATGCACATTTATCTTTTGCTTTGTATTTGTTTAAAACAAAGTATAACCCCCCCTGAAAAAAAACGGAAGCACTTCTACAAGGGACCCATTAAATATAAACACTGCCAACAATAGATTAAGCCTGGGGACCCATTAAATATAAACACTGCCAACAATAGATTAAGCGTGGGAACCCAAGGGATTCGCTTGTTCGAAGGTTTGTTTGTTATCATTGTTTTTATGTTGATTTTGTTGAAGCATCGCTCTCATTGTTCGCATTTACAGAAGTAAATTGTTCTTCAGTTATTTCTTATTATTTTGTAGGATTTTCAAGCTATTTTTTATGAATTTTTTAACAATAAATAGATAAAAATATTTTTGTATAATTAAGGAAGTTTTCGGACACAGATGCCAGTTTGCGGTGCGTCATTTCGGGGTGAGAGGAAGAAAATATGGCAGGGGTGAATGATAATTGATAATATGGCTGTTATCATTGTGTTCTTGTTTAATTCTTAAATGCTGTAAGTATGCAGGACCATGGGGTTTCCAACTCCTCAAGTACTTTGATTACATGGACCGCAAAAATATGCATTTTAAATAATTAAGTAAAATTTTTATTTCCATCTAAAATAATGACAATTAAATCAATATTTATGGCTTAAAGTTTTAATGAGATAATCTAATTTAATGCTTTTTTAACAATAACCTTTCAGAGGATGGTAGGTGTTACAGAGAATAAATGATTGAAATAAGAAAATATTATTGTTTCTCTGAGATGACAGATTAGTTTTATGGATCTGGGTCATAAAAATTAGCAAGCCACTGCTTTGTATAACAAATCCAATTTCAAACAACTCTGTATAATGTTCTACTTTTATTAACAGTGCTACTCTAGAATTTGAATACTATTGAAGATTCTTGGTATTATCAAATATCTGGTTGTAATGAAAGTTTTCCCCCAAAAAATGTTCTAGTTCAGTTAGCAAAAGAAACATGAAATCGCTACTTTTAGTGTGGGTGGGAATCACCACCCAAATCTATGATTTTCTGTCAACATTTTTTTTGGTGGTCTCTCAAAGCCTTCAGCCCAGAAATTTGGTGGCTGCAAGTCCAAAAACATATCAACCTCATTTTGAATGTCCTGCACAGAATGGAAGACAGTACCAGCAAGATGCAGCTGCAGATTTAGAAAGAGGTAGAAGTCTGAAGTAACGATCTTGGGGCTATATGGTGAGTGTGGTAGAAGATCTGCATTTTCTTGCTGGAACATTACTTTTTTTTCACCGGAGCTCAATTCGACATTTTTCCTTGATAGCAGTGTTAACATGGACTGGCATCTTGCTGTTCACTTTACTGTCAAGGGTTTTCCCCTTTTTCCAAATACTCTTTGTGGATAATATCACAGAACTCCCACCAGATAGAAAACATAATCTTTTTGTTAGTCAAATTGTGCTTTGTGACGCTGCCAGCGGGCTCACCGGCTGCAGATCAACCCACTTTTCTGCCTGTGTTGTTGAAGTAAATCTACTTTTCATAACAAGTGATGATCTAGTCCAAAATTTTGTCTCTGAGTTGATATTTGAGCAGATAGTGCAGGCCAACCACGTCTGTCTTTATCTGCTTGAATCAGCTTATGTAGCACCCAGTGATTGAACTCATATGTCAAGTTTATGTAGATATATAGCTCAACTAATGGACAGGGCATTAACATCTAAACTCTTAGCAAGCTCTGAGGAGTTGCATAAGGATCTTCTTCCAAAAGTTCTTACAGGCGGGCATCATCAATATTGGTAGCCCGACCAGCTTTGCTTTTTTAATGTCATAGTCCTTGTTTTTGAACTTTGGGTACCAAACCTTCACAGTGTCATATGATGCAACATTAGTATCTGAAGCTGTACACATGATTTGGGGACATTCTCTAGCTGACTTTTTGCAACAGAACTGGAATTAAATGATAGTTCTAACCTGGTAGTGTGAAAGTTCCATTTCAGACACCTTGTACTTTTAATCATAACAGTTTTTTTTTTTTTTTTTTTACAAATTTCACAACACAGTGTTCTAATAAAAGTCTCTTTCTTTCAAATGCCAAAAATCGTTTGACAAAATATGATTTAGCATGCGAATGCAAACTGTTTGTGCAGACCATATTTGTGGTAGCGGGAAACTTTCTTTAAAACTTGATCTATTATGAAAAGGTCAGGTAATTGTTTCTGTGTAAAATACTTTAAGCTGTATGCAAGTAAATTGAACAATAAAACAACAACAAAAAATAACATTGAAATTTTTTTTTGCGTAAAATGGATATATTAAGCATGTTATTAAGTCGTGCATACATTAATTTATTACAGGCGGATGGCTCATATTGAAATAAAACCTATGCATACTAAAACTGCTCAGTGTCCAAAAGAAAGTAAAGCAACCTGTCATCGAATAATTGTTTAGAATCAGATATTTCTTTCTGTTTGAAACTTGTTTCACTATTTTTAAAATGATGTAAATATATACTTATGGCTTTGGGAAAATCTAGTTGTGGCTCTCACTGACATAAAGTTTGGTCACCCACGATCTGTTGTATGCATCTATTGTATTTTTATCTATTATATACATAATATCACTAATTATCAGATACAGTTTTTAAAATATCAAAAAACAAAGCACATTTATTTGTTTACTTTATTAAACATTTCTTTCAGTTTAAGTTGCTTCATCTTTTATGTACTCATATGTTATATCTTTTGTGTACTCGCATGTTACATCTTTTGTATCTGTTAAGATGTGTTCAATGCAGGACAGTGATCATTCAGCTTCTACCAGTCTGGCAGGAGCGTACTTAAAACATGTCAAAAACATGGGATTCATAACAAAATCTACCATGTTTTCATCTTGCAAACCTTTATAAATGTTCTTAATTTTCTTAAGGATCTGAATGATATTCTTAAGGATTCTTAATAATCTTATTATTTAGAAATGGGTTTATTGTTGCTTTTATATTTAGAAAAGATATTTCCCTCTTTACTCAGACTCACTGTATTCAAGTCGATAAAAAGAATAAGTGGAATGATAACCCAATAATTTAGTTCCAGTTTCAAATTCGGTGATTGGGATGGCTGTTTAAGCTGCAGTGAGCTGTGAAAATTTTAACAAAGGGCTCGTAATTTATCCTATGAAAAGTATCATTGCCTAACTGAATGTTTCATTTCTTAGAAAAAGAGAAAATATAAATAATTTGAATAAACAAGACAGTGTCTTTAAAACACAAAATAAAATTTCAATTTACAAAAGTATAAGCATTAAAAGTATTGTGGAAATTATAAAAAACAGCAAATAAATTTATGCGACAAAATCTACTGCACATTATCTTTTTCTTTCATATCAGTTGATCTTGGAGGATATATGCCAAGCGGGGTGTTCTTAAAAATTTTTTTTACCTAAGGTTTATGATTAAAATTTCTTAAAGTTTTTTCATTTAAGAATATTGCCTCTAAAGCTATATTACCTTTTCTTGTCAAAGAAATATTGTTCATTAAGTTTTAAGTTAAGGTCATTCACACTAACATACGAACTGGCCTTCACAAGGAAAACCTTGCAGATCAAGTACTTGAATATCTATTTAGGCATGAAATCAAACATAACAGCCAAGATCCATTTAGTGAAACTTTAAATGCCATTAAAGACTGTTTCCAAAAGGCTCTTTGCTGTACAAATTTAGTAAAAGAGAAACGAAGTATTACTTATCATAAGTATAATATAAGTATACTAAATGTAAGCATGGGCAAACGATCTTAGACTGAGAAAACGAAACTGTCATATGACGCGAATTTCTCAGTGGTAGATTAGATGAATTGCTGAGCACCAGTAATTCGAATTGAAAGCGAATTAATTGGTTGGCTGCATGAGTATTTTTGTGTTTTCCCCCCCTCATGTATTATAAATTGATGAACAATAACTGACATTTGTTCTGAATGACATTAAGCAATACCTAAGATGTTTTATGCATTACTCTGGTTACAGATAGAAATAAGATGCAAAAACTCACCTCCAAAAAACTTTCTTATATTTATCATGTCAAAAGTCAATGCATATGCTAGCAGTTATGAATCACAAAAGTTGGTCGTAGATTGAATTACTGAAGATTGAAAAACAAAAGCAAAGAACTCTAAATAAATTTTCCCTCTGCAGAAATTAACAGACTATGCAGGGGCAAAAACATAAGTACAAATGTGGGAAGGGAACACTGATTTGCATGGCTCATGTGACCTTTTTTTTTGAAAACTCTGCTTGGTTGCCGTAAAGCTCTGAATTCGTGTGCAAGTTTCGACTCGTAAGCGAGTTCCCCCTCTTCCTCCTTCCAGCTCTGAAGCATTTGCGAGGTCATTCAACTGACCTCACAGGTGTTTCCTCTCCGCGTTGTTCACAATTGCACAGTAGGATTATCAATGTTCAAGGAAACATAACTCTTTTATTATTGTTTTCAAAATTATTTGATCCTGATCTCCCCTTCTAAATTATTCTGGTCCTTAATTTTTCGATTAGAATCATATAAGAAACAGAGAAAATTTTTCGCTAACTTGTTATTGAAACAGAAAAAGATGCATTCATTTAGTGGAGTGCAAGTGCACCTCCTTGCACCCCCCTGGCTATGCCCATGAACGTAAGTATAATAATATAAGTAATTAGTATAATAATACTAATATTTACCTTTGTATGTGAATTTTTACTTCCATATGCTTAATATAGTCTTTTCTGTGCTAACTTCATTATATGCACTAAATTTATTTTCCCTGTATGCACTAAATGTTATGTTTAACCGACTTACTTCCATTTTCCGATAACTTAACTGTATGTAACTGTATTGTCGATCAGCCGTTGGTGAGGTTGTCGAGTTACAATGCAATGATGCCAATGGGTTCTTTGCAGAAGAAAGCACTAAAAAAAGTTATAAAAGATAAAAATCAAGACTATCTTATCTCCTCCCTAGTTCCATGATTAGTACTTTTGGTGCAAGGCTGAAAGGTCCTGTTGTCAATACTCGTTAATCACTGTTCATTTTCTAGAATTTCAATATTCTTATTAGTTTACTTTTTTTCTGAAAACTTTTTTAAGCCATGAAGACTTTCTCTTTATATAATTTCCTTAAGGACTTCCATGTATTTTTTCTCAGTTCTTCTTCTTATTTTTATTATTATGATGTGAAAGTAGAGGGTACTATATCTTAGGCACTCTGAAATATTTTATCCTTGGTTCCTGTAGGAGATGATAATGGCAAGAAGTTTCACTGTATTATATATGCAATAACATTGTTCAGTGATTCCTTACTATCCCTGTTTCAAAAATAGCTGCAATAAGTTTATTGTTATGTTCAGTTTGTACTAATTAATTTGTTTCTATTATCATTTTAAATTAAGTAAAATTTAAATCAGAGAAATTATCCAAATTCTGTTGCATCAATGTTTCCTTATCTGTTTAGCCTAATTATGTATATACACATATGTGTACAATAATAAAATATATCTGTATATATTACAAAACTGAAGAAACATTAGCTGAATTTATGCAATAAAAAGTATCAGGCAATATAAATTTATTCATAAGCAGCTGCTTAAAAAGTTAACATTTGTTTACTTCAGTAAGATTCATAAATGTTAAATTTTTTGTACAATAAACTAGGAACGTTATGTATTTATTTCACCTAATAATATTATAGTTACATTTTAAAGAAATGTTTAAAACTGATGTAAAGAGGCTTTAAATTTCACTTTTGATTTAACTTTTATAGATTGGCTCAATGGCTTGAAGCATGCAGGAAGTACTTGATTGAGCATTATAAGGAGATATTAAAGGAACCACCTTCTACCTTATACTGAACTCGTCTTTGTTCTGCCCATTTTGAAGATTTTGCATACTCAACGACCAAGAACTCTTGCATTTAATGCTTAATCAGCAAAATTTGGTGAAACAGGTATGCATTAATTTCAAGTTTATATGTTTCAAAAAAAAAAAAAAAAAAAGTTTAACCTCTTAGATGTTGTGCTTATCAACAACTTGCCATGTTATTTCAGAAAGAGAGTAGTCTGCTCTCTTTTAAAATAATGATAAATCTTTTTCTGATCGATAATTTAATTTCCCACCGAAATTCCATTTGCTTACTTGAATAATGTAGCTTACTTTTTATGAAAGGACTTATTTGATATATCTTCCATAGTAAATTTTGGTATAAGAGAATGTAAAATAACGCTTATTTTAAATCCACTAAATTTTCCATAGTAAATCTATTATGAAAAATGTAGGGATAATAGAATTCTTAGAATATGATATAGCAGAATATATTTATGCAAAGCATAATCTTAGGCTTTGATTTACCAACTTATGATAAATGAGATTAATTAAAAATAAAATTAAAACTTCTTTTCTAAACACTAAATCTGAAAGCTCTTTAAATGTCAGTTTAACCTTCTAAAAGCTGGCTTAAATTCTCATCATATAACCTTTAGGACAGTGTTTTATCCAAAACACTTTTTCCCCTTTTTTTATAATGATGTTCCCTAATGAGAAAAGTCGTTAGGGAGGTCATTTGTCCCTTCCATAGATGCAGTAAAATTTACATGTTTATCAGACGCTGGACAATAATTTAGAATATGTTATTATATTTGCGACCTTTTTCAAGGTTTATTTTGATTTAATTTGAACTAAACTGTATTTATTTATTAAGAGCAAAATGTATACAATGTTTATACAACATTTACTATTTCTGATCAATCTCGGTAATAATTTGCGAGTTTTTTGTCTTTGTTTCTGCTATTAGGAAATGAGAACAGAACTTGACAAAATATAACAAATATGAACTAGCTTTATGTGCCTGCAGGTCGGAATGCAATATTTGATAATCTATTTTCATTAATAAAATAATAGTAATGAATTATGTAATGAAGTAATTATAAGGAATTCATAATAATATTCATTACTATTAGATGATTAGAATATGATTCATTACTATTAGATTTTGAGATTAACTTGTATCAATAATAAAGCTTTAAATCTTTTTTTTCCTCATAATTTTGTTATTGTAATATAAAAAAGAAGAATTAGAAATATATTAGTTGTGTTTGATTATTTAACTTTACAAATATTACTTTGGACTATCAGGCAAAGGAAGTATGTCTGTAGAGAGAATTTTCTTTATAAAATCGGATTTTGTTTGATCAATTTGGCACCTCTTGGATGATGCGCCCGAGGAAAGATGTCCCCCTTTGACCCACCCTAGCTACGCCACTGAATAAATTATGCGGATTTTTTCTTGCATTTCATTTAAACTGATTGATTTGAATTATATTAAATCTTCGTCGATAGAGCATAAACCATAATAGAATAAATGCACTCTTTTAAAATTCACTATATTTATTAATATAGCGATACTCTGGCACTATGTTCACTTAACAGCGTTACATCGCATTCATTTTATAACTCAGAATGCACAAAAATTATATCATCTGAAGAATTACTTAATTGTTGCCAAATGTTCTATTCAAATACTATAATAAAGTTAAAATAATGTATAAAAGAAATTAAACAATTAGAAAGTTTTTCACAGACGATTCAGCGACGCTTACCTAATACGCAAGTGCTACTCGTAAACATTCCTCTCTGTCTAAAATTGACTGGCGACAATATATGCTGCTAATACGAAACATTTATTTCTTCGAATTTCATTAGAGATATATTTCTCATTCAATTAATGCAGTTCTCATTTCGCGGCAAAGCAAAAATACATAAAAAATCAAGTTATCTTCGTTACAGATTGAAAGGTATAGAACACATAAAATACCAAATACAGTTTAAAAAATTCAGAAAATAATTTTTACAATTAAAATTATTGTTCCTACAGAAAAACAAGCAATTAGGCCAGCAGGCAGGTTTTTTGGTGCACAAAACTAAAAGTTTCCTTTTCCTTGCACTCTGCAAAAATATACTGAAGATTGGGGGGGGGGGAAACAACTTAATTCACTATTCTGCGAAGTTTCAGCTCGCCGCATATTTAGAATGCCGCCATGCCGAACCAACACTATATATTTACAAACATGTAGGTCTTCTACGGGATTCGACACCGGGCCCTTCGGTACCGTAGTGGGCTTCCATAACCATTATATCGTCTAGGCAACAGAAGGGATTTAAGCTGATAATTTATTCTTCTACATATTCTTTATTTTTCTCACATAAATTTTAAAGCAAAAAATGTGCAATTTATCAGCATATAAGAATGAAAAAGACTAAGCTCACGGAGCGGAGTAACAGAGTGGGTATGGCTTTGCTCTACGCAAACCAGCAACCTTTAATTAATTTTCTGCAATTTAGTACATCATCCAGAAATTAGCTTTTGCCATTTTCTCAATAGATATTTTGTCTAATAACAATTAAATAATTTACAATCGTGCTTACATTCGACCATCCTGACTTTTCATTTGTCCTCAATTGAACCAAATCTTGCCATACATTAAAGTAACAAATAAACAACAACAAAATATAATAAGTAGGTAGGAAAAAAAATAAAATCAAATATATTTAAAAAAAAAAATGTATAAGTCCTATGCAAAGTCTCTATAGCGCAATGGTTTGCACACTGTTCGCTTGGGCCTTTTTAAGTTCATCATTGTCTTCGTCATTGTCATCATCATCATTTGCTTCTGCATTTTTCCAAGATTTTAGTTGACTTACATGAGCAGTTGATGCATAAAAGCAACCATCGCAGGCTTCTTCTAGTTGTGATATTCTATAAGTGTCACCCGGAATTACTTCTGTCGCAACCATTGGACCACGATACTTAGGTTGAGTTTTGGTTGGTTCTCCTGGTGTAGATTTTGAATTTCTTTTAACTACTACTATTTCTCCTTGCTCAATGATAAAGATCCCGATTTCTTCTTGTCATAATAAGTTTTCATTTTTTCTTGTTATCTAACAGTCTTTTCTCTAGCTTCTTTTTGTAGTTTTTCTGGTTCCTTCCAAACTTCTGCTTCTTCATCAGCAAGTAATCTCAAAACTCCATCTTGAAATCGTGGTACACATTCATGAAGTATTTCAAATGGTGTTTTCCCAATAGTTTTATTGATTGTGTTATTCAAGTTTCTCTCAACTTCTTTAATTCTTTTGTCCCAATCCTTTTGATCTTTACTTTTCATTGATGTTACTATTGTTGATAAAATTGTTCTATTCGATCTCTCGACCATACCATTCCCTTGTGGGTGGGAGGTTGAATTTAATGTATGAAGAATTCCCTTTTCCTTGCAAAAATTTTGAAATTCCTTTGAAGTAAAACAAGAACCTCGATCTGATATTATACGATCTGGTAATCCAAATTCTTCTATGAAACTCATCAATGATTTCAGTACGTTCTTCGAAGATGTGTTTTTCACAGCAGACAATCGAATGAATCTCGTCATATTATCAATCACGATTAACAATTCCTTGTTTCTTTTAGAACTTGTGATGGAAGGTCCAAGATGATCAATGTGTATTGTTGCAAAAGGTCTGCAGCCTGGGGGAATAGGATACAAAAGCCCCTGTCTTTTTCCCCCTGGAACTTTTGTTGATGAGGCATTCGAAACACATTGATATGTGTCGACGAACATATCTCTTCATAGCAGGAAACCAGTACAGTTCTTTGATTTTTGAGACAGTCCTATCAACAGCAAAATGTCCCATAAGGTTATGAAACTTCACAACAAGCTTTTTCTCATGCTTTTACAATGTTGTAAAATGTACAATGTATAATAACTTCTTCTTTTCTCCATCCTCCACAATACGGAACAGTCTATTCCTTTTCAAAGCATAATTTTCTACATTTTGATTTTCTTCTTTCGTTCTTTCACTTGCGTCTTTCTTCAAAATTGTTATTAATTCTCTTAACTTTTCATCTGCCTGCTGTATCATAAGAATTTGTTCGTCTAAATTTAAGGTCTGACAAACATCTAAATTATCTTCTATCAGAGAATGCATGGTGTCTGACGAATTCATAACAGGAACTCTACTGATTGCATCGATATGAGACATTTTAATTCCTGGTTTGTGGCATATTTCAAAATTATATTCTTGAATAAGGATACTCCAATGAGCAATTTGGGGATTGCTAGATTTCTTTGCATTCATGTAAACCAATGCTTGGCAGTCGGTAACTACCGTAAATTCAATTCCGAGTAAGAATTGTTGAAGTCTATCTAGAGTCCAGACAATTGCCATTAGCTCAAGTTTACTTGAGTAATAATTCTTTTCAGCTTCCATTGTCTTTTTACTCACGCAGTAGACAAGATGCCATTTGCCGTCACTTCCGAGTTGAAGTAACATGCCAGCAATACCCTCTGAGCATGCATCAGTATGGACTTCTGTTTAGAGCTTTAGGGTTGTACAAAGCTAAAATTGGTTGATTCGTCAGTTCATTTTTCAGCACTTGTAAAAGAATTCCGCTGACTTTCTTCCCATCTGAATGTTTGATTTTTCTTAGTTAGTTGAGCCAATGGTCCAGCTTTAATGGCATAATTTGGAATAAACCTTCTAAAAAAACTTGTTAAACCAAGAAATCGTCGAACTTCATGAAGGTTTTTAGGTTCTAGGAATTTTGATATTACTTCAACTTTTCTTGATCCTGGCTTTATTCCGTTTTTATTGATTATAAAGCCTAAATATTCTATTTCTTGTTTGGCAAATTCACATTTCGGTAACTTCAGGGTTAGTTTAGCTGTTAGTTTCACTGCTTTGATTACTTTAATTAATTTCTGAATCATTTCTTCCCAAGTCCTTGCTGGAACAAGTATATCGTCAAGGTAGCACAACACTTCTTTATTACATAATGAGGATAATGCATGATACATCAATCGTTAAAATTCCGCAGGAGCGTTGGTCAAGCCAAAAATCATTGTTGTGTAGCAAGTTAATGCAATTAAATGAATCACAGAAATCAAAATTTTAATGTGT